CACTGGTTGTACAATTTCGTTTTCAGGTTTTGAGGTATGTCTGACGAGAAGATGTGTCGTAGCTTCCCGAACGCTGCCCAGCCGAGTTGAATCCGTCGATTGACCTCTCGGTCGAAGTTGGACTTACCTAGTCGGACTATTTGTCCCAGGTAAACATACTCGTCAACAACTTCGAGTTTAGTGCTCCCAACAACTACCGGCATAGGTGTGACATGGACATTGAACATGATCTTTGTTTTGTCCATGTTCATCTTAAGACCTATCCGTTGGGAAACACTATCGAGGTCATTGAGCATAGTGCTTAGGTCCTCCAGCGATTCTGCCATAAGGACTATATCGTCGGCAAATCGAAGGTGAGTGTTGTACTCGCCATTGATGCTGATACCGTATCCTTTCCAGTCCAGAAGCTTGAAAACGTCTTCCAATGCAGCGGTGAAGAGTTTCGGGGATATGACGTCACCCTGTCTTACACCTCTCTGCAATTGGATAGGTTTCGTACTCTGGTTCTGTACTCGGATAGCCATCGTAGCCCTACTGTACAAGCACTTCAACACTTCGATATACCGACAGTCAACTTGGCACCGCTGAAGGGACTGCAGCACCGCCCAAATTTCGACGGAATCAAAGGCTTTCTCATAGTCCACATACGCCAGACATAGTGGCAAATTGTACTCTTCGGACTTCTGTACAATTTGCCGAAGGGTATGTATGTGGTCTATGGTGCTAAAGCCCTTTCGGAAACCGGCTTGTTCGGGAGGCTGGAAGTCGTCAAGTCTGCGCGCGAGACGATTCGTAATGACTCTCGAAAACAGCACGTAGACGCGGCTCAGAAGGGAAATCGGTCTGTAGTTCTTCAAGAGAGCGTTGTCACCTTTCTTGAAGAACAAGACCACCGCACTTCTGCTCCACGCCTCCGGTGTAATGCCACCATGGAGGACGGAATTAAAGAGCTTCTGAAGGACTTCAAGTACCGGTCTTCCACCCGCTTTCAGAAGCTCCGCTGTAATTCCATCCTCGCCTGGGGCCTTACCGTTTTTAAGGTGCTGGAGAGCCATTCTAATCTCGCTCAGACTGACGTCCGGGATATCTTCGAAATAGTGTCGGATGAGACTCGCTCTTGGATCGTTACTCACACTTGCGTGTGGCTCCAACGATGACGTGTACAGCTGCCCATAGAACCTCTCAATCTCACTCAAAATCTCAGGTGTCCCGGAAACGATGCTGCCACATTCTGTCTTCAGCTTTGACAGTTTGCTCTTTCTGGCACACAGATCTCTGGCAAAGACTTTGGAGCCTTGGTTCCGCTCGATCGCTTCTTCAATACGAGCTGTATTGAAGTTGCGTAAGTCCCGCCGCATGCATTTGGAGATCTGTCTGTTCAGATGCCTGTATGCTGTCAAGTCTGTTGAAGAATGTAGCTTCATCTCCCGTCTAACAGCCATGAGATTAAGAGTGTGATCGGAGAGTTTTTGTGTTTTTCTGCGGCGGGTCTTGCAGAACTTAGCTCCGACCGCATGGACAGTTTCCACGAGCTTGTCATTCATATCGTCCACTTCATTGCAGTCTTCTAGGCACTGAAAACGGTTTTGTAACTCGAGCTGAAAGGTTTCGGGACTTTGGAACAGAGCACGAGGGGGACGGAGCGTTGACTTCATTATACGAGACCTCTCCAACTTAACGTTTAGGTTCAGTGTGCCTCTAACCATTCGGTGATCGCTACCAGTTTTCACCCTCGCGATCACGGAGACATCACTGAACAGTTGTCGTCTGGTCGTCATAATGAAGTCAATCTCATTTTTTGTCGAACCGTCGGGGCTCGACCAGGTCCACTTCCTGTGGGACCGCTTCTGGAAGAAAGAGTTCATCATAAAGAGTCCCTCTTTCTCCATGAAGTCGGCCAGCTGCTGGCCCCTTGGGTTCCGTTGCCCTATTCCAAATGTCCAAGTGTTCGCGTAAATATAAGAAATCAAAAACTACTGGTCAGATCTTGATCAAATTCATATAGGATCTCATGAGAAGCACCAGTTTTCAAATAAAAAAAAATCATCAAATCGGATCCCCTAGTAAAAAATTCTGAAGTAACACGACACACACACATAAAAAGTACAGTTGAATTGAGTATCTCCTCTTTTATTGAAGTCGGTTGAACATTACATGAACGTGTATTTTGCCCCAAATTCTGCAGTCTTACCGTTTAAACAGAAACACAGCAGTAAGTGCACTACTGCTAAGTGGCAAAAATAGGTGAGGTGGCGCTAACCCAAACTGGCTCTTATGCAGTATAAGAGTTGAACCACATATGTATATCCTAGAAACTGTACTTAGGTCCTTTATACTGGCCTACTCACGCATGCTTACATTAATAGCAATTACTTAGAAATTCTTACGTGATAGGCTAATTGTTAGATGAAAGAAAGTGGATGCTGTGGTTTATATTCATCTACATCAACACTCGATTAAGAATCAAAATGCAGATGCGTTGTCACCCCTGGGGACTAAGATGGCATGCCTCGTTGTCAACAAAAAGGTACTCCAATTCTCTGCACTTACCATACGAAATACAGCAGTAATAAGCCGCTTTTTATTTCACGCTGGTATTATGTGAGAGAGTGGACATTCCTCATTCATGCTACGACCTTTCGTACTAACGAATGGGTTGGCTCGACCACTTTGCAGTTTTATTATGGTAGTCAACCATAATAGAACTGCAGCGTGGTTCTATGAAATTATGATCATGTATGAAATGAAATGCTTACAAGTAATTACTAATGGCATCAAAAACATAACTTGTAAAAAACCAAGTCTCGCAACTTCTTCTGCCGTAAAAAGTTGTGAGATCCATATAATACCAAGTCGGTTAATTTATTCAGTCCCTACTTATGGGTCCTTCTGTGACGTAATTAGCTAACCTAACAACATCTTATAGTGACCACATCAATACAAAAAATCTTTTATATTTTAAATAAATAGATTGACTTGGCCATTGCATGAAAACACAATGTATCTCTCAAGTAAAACATATTATATAAAATTAGATTGTTTAATTTATGCAGTTGGTGTATCTCGAAAACTGGACCGAAATTGCAAAATAGTTTTTCCTTGATTTATATACTAAACAATAATTGTATTCCAAATTTGTAGCTTCTATGTCTGCTAGAAATCGCTTAGAGTTTTGATCACCGGTCAGTGGTCCCATATGAATTTGATCAAGGTCTGACCAATATTTTTTAAGTTATTCTTAATAATTTATATAGAAGTCGGTTGTAATTTTTTTTAATTTTAAATTATATGTAAACGAGATCATTATTATACATCCATCGGAAGTCATAAGATTTTTCTTGCATTTCCCATAGGTACCTCTTACAACACCGGACGACACTGGCCGAAATGAGGTGTGCATTCTTTCACAATGCAACCAAACGGCATTCATTTATTTACTAACACTTTATTGTATCAAACACCTTAATAAAAAAGATAACAAAGGGCGTACTTAATGCCTGTTTTCATTCTCACGCAGTCAAACCGGGACTAGTCGATAATGTGAAAGGTGCCAAAAAATATTTTAGAACTATATGATAAATTTGAGAAAAACAACATCAGTATTGCATATTTAACATTATATTATTAAAACGATAAAAATACTACACTAATCGTTATATATAAAAATTACGTATCACATTGTTTGTCCGCGATGAACTCCTAAACTATTGAACTGATTTCAATGAAATTTTGCACACTGTGTTCAGTTTGGTCCAACTTGAGAGATAGGATACTTTTTATCCCGATAAATGAATTTCAATATTTTTTATTGCGAATTTAAGGATTTTTTTTTATGGGAAGGGTCGTCGGAAAGGGCAGAACGTATGCCTGACCAGCTAGTAGGTATAAATATATAAATTATACAACAGAAATGTAATAATCACATAATTCAGTCGATTCTTAGAGCTATGTGGCCAGCCATTTACGGTTTTCTGGTTCTACTGCGAATACCCTCAACTTCGACTGTCAGCCTCGCACCGGTAAGCGAAGTGTGGGGCGGCCCGCTATTAGATGCAGCGACGACCTGATAAGACATGCAAAAATGGAGGGATGCAAGGGGCTCAGGTTCGTGTTTTGTTATATTCCTTGGGGATGGGGAGGCCTATGTTCAACAGTGGACTTGTGAAAGACTGTAATGACGTTGATGATGATGATATGTCATTATATATATATATATATATATATATATATATATATATATATATATATATATATATATATATATATATATATAACGTGGTAGAGCCATGCTGCAGCTATATTAGTAGTATAGTTGCAGCACGAATGACCACGCTCTCACAGAAAACCAGCGTAAAATAGCAGCTTAACGCCGCTGTGTTTCTTATGTGAGTGTGGAGAACCGGAGACCCTTTTTACTGGCAAAAAGGCATTCCATCTTAGTCCTCACGGGTGACAACGCATCTGCATCTTGAGTCTTTATTGAGGATAGCTGTAGATGTCTATGGGTCACAGTAACCACTTACCATCAGGTGGACTGTGTGCTCGTTTGTCACCCTATTCTATAAAAAAAAAACTATTTACCGAAATGTACAGCATAAACTATATTTGAACAAGACTCAGTTTATTTACTTAATGGATGACGTCTTCTTTAAAAATAATAACATTTTAATTTGGCATTGTTGTCAGAATAATGAAATATGTTCGTTAATGATCGCTTTCAACAAAACATACAAAGAAACAAATTAATTTATCTTATTGTTCTACATCATTATCGGCCATTTTATATATAACACAGTATTTAATGTTTTATTGCGTTGGAATAAGGGTGAATGTGTTGTATAACGCAAATGACCAACAGCATTGACATGTCTTCTTTTTATTTGCTAATATTACATTTACACAGATGCATTTTGTTAATATTATTAAGGTATATATAGCGGGTATAAACGAACTGGATCGTGTATACTATATACCGTTTCGGTCGCTTGAAGACCACCAAAATGCTGCCCATTGTACTGATATTGTCCCTGGCATCGGTAAGTTTCTTTTTATTTCCTTTTTTTGCAACCACACATCAAAATCATAGGAGTGTAAGAGCGGTTTCATCAGTTTTTCGTTTGTATTATCAACTTAAAGAAACGAATGGTAAAGTGTCTTGTTGGATTACCTGCATGTCAATTTAGATTATATTCATACTTTCATTACAGCCTTTCAAAGTCCACATAGGCCTTCCCATATTGCTTCATAAGATATTTGCCATAGTTGCCACGTTTGGCAGGTGGGTTGGCAACCACAGGTTCATATTTCATAGTTGTTATTACTAAGACGCTACTCCATATCTCTTGGTTTGTTTGTTTCTGTCGCATCTCACAACACCATAGGGTAGTTATAGGGTAATGGATATTCTTACACCGCCATTACATTGTCCATTTGGATTTATTATAACTTAACAACTTAACCTATTGGTATGAATACTTGCTGACTATAATAAAATTTCGTCAAGTTCCTCTCTACTGGCACCAATAAAAAAATTAAATGCAGCTTTGAATATTGACTTACTACGTAATCGATTTTGAAAGAAACTATCGTGAGCTAGCCATATCTTAGAAATTAAGAAGAAATATTTCAAGGACATATAAAGTCCACCCACAAACCCTCTCAGAAATTACAAGGGCCTATGTCGGAACTAATGGTGGATTTTATTTATCAGCTGTTTCAACAATATTGAATGATATGCAATTAAGACACAATTCAGTTCGAAACAAAAGTTAATCTCTTTCGATATTAAAGAATTTTCGCATTAGCCCCTCTTATGTAGAAACAAAATGTCCATTAGACAATTGAATGGTGATACCTCCTAAAATAACTTAAAATTCTTACAGATTTCTTATATCTCGTTCACTCATCTGACGCGTCTTTTGTCATTAATAGTGATTTGTTTAAAACAAATTGATGTACTCATTTATAAATCGTATCGTGGTTTAATAGAATTCAGCAAAACATGTCTTGAAAAAAGTGAGAAAAAGTAAAACCCGAAATAAGTTTCCATCCATATTTTAGATGATCCTTTTCGATAATTCTTAGCTACAACCTAAACGACCTTATCGTTTACAGATAATACAAAAGTCGGTTTACTTTCTGATATATCCTGTCAGTTTACCGTCCATCTTCGTGTCTCTTTTTATTATTGTGAGTGATCGAGGTGCAGAATTTTAGTTTTTCCGACATTTATTTATATTTTTGCACGTAACATTCCAAACGTTAACATCCGTATTATATTTACGACAACGGTGAAATCTCTTCACACCTACATTTCCCTCGCTTTATCAAGCCATCAATAGACATTTATTACGAATATTCCGATTTACATAGGAATACGTTCGGCATACGAATGCCACCGCGATGAAGCACAACGAATATATTGAAAACGAGATTTGCTTGTGACAGGGCGCTTCAGATGAGACGCTTTCGAATTACACACAAAAATATATTTTTTTCTTTAGTATTTGAAAATAGAAATGACATTCTATTTCTTTTTTATTTCTTGTTTTCAAATTCAGGTTAGCTAAACTAAAGATGCATGTAATTACTCTAAGTAGAAATCCTCCAATTAAATTAATAAATTAGTCATCAGAATTTAACGTACGATTGGGTGCAAGTTCAACTTCCAACCAGATACTTTTTGCTCACTCTAGACAGATTTGAATTTTTTTTTAAATATGGATATCGAACAGGTATTCTAAAGCAATTTTCCAAAAACTGTTTGAAGAAATACAAAATAAATTAAATAGATGTTTGAAGTCATTGATTTTAAATTTCACTCATATTATACACTTTCGAAAATACGGTGAAGGATATTAATTTAAATAAAAAATTTTTTTTTGGAAATAATTTCAACAAGATTGACCACAAAATAATGGATCATACGTTTTAGAAATGTTAATGTGCTTTTTTAATTAATACACTATATTTACAATATTTGTTTAGTGCAACTTATTAGAATGATATCAAAGTTTAACAATCTACGTGATGTCGGTAGTATTTGACTATCGGTAGACTAATCGACTTTTCCAAGAATACGCTGATACTTGGCCCATACTTACTATATTTATTTAATATAAATCTAAAATAGCTTATGATGGAAATTCGTAAAGCTCTCCAAGTCGTAGACTTAAGATTTGAAGCGCGTTCGTGTATATTTGCACATCAATCCACTTTGCCATGAATATGTAATACAATACATATTCATAGAATCACAACTCTCTCACGAGACCGAGATACTATCTGTGGAATACGAGCATTGCGGCCGAAACTTACCGGTGTATAAGAGAAATATTACCAGCATACGGAGTACAGCTACATATTTTGATTATGTATATATTAATATTACATATTATTTTCTTTAAAAGGAAGTTCAAAAATTAATCTTTTAAACAAAATTTAAAATAAATTACACCTATCTATAAGAAAAATATCAGTACTTACGTTGACTTACGGATCTGAAACCTAGTTATTCACTGCTGGTCGAATGAAGAAACTTGAAGTCACGAAATGAGCAATGAAAAGGGCTATGACCGGAATATTTCTGTGTGATTAAACTCGTTGCGAGGATATCCGCAGATACAAGAGTAAGTGACATAGTTCAACGGATCAATAAACTGAAGTGGCAATGGGGTGGCCATATAGCTGGAAGAACCGACAACCGATGGGGAAGAAAGATTCTTCAATGGCAGGCTCGTACTGGAAAACGCATTGTTGAGGAAATACGAAAGTATTTGATGGATGTATGTGGCTCAGGAACGTACTTTGTGCCAATCTATGCTGGAGGCCAAAACAAGTCTATGCTGAGGACATTTGATGAGTTGTAATAATAGTGATGATACGGGAAAGGCATTTTCAACACGATTGTACTAAACGATCTGTATGTATATATGTATTATGTATGTATGTATGTTATATACAAGTAAGTATGCATGTATGATTTAAATGCAATTTTTAATCCAGTTTTCAACACCCACTTCCGGACGAATACCTAATTTAAAACTTTGCAAACGAATTAAAAACAACACAATAACTTCACGACTGTTACCTAGTATTCACAGTAGGATCATTAGAGCATCAGCATCATCAATGCGTGTCGCTAAAGTGTTTTAAACTCTAATTTTTAGATTAAACTTTGGTCAAGCACAACTGTGTAAACAGATACAAATTTCATCTGAATTAATGTTAACCTTCAACTAAATTAATGTTAATCACATTTCTTAAGAGCCGTGGTATTTCACGGGCTTGGCACTTACCGTAAATATATAGTACACGTTATATACGAGCAACCTGGCTTCGATAGCCGCCAACACCCACGCAATTGTTAATTGCAGTTTTAAATACTGATATACCATGTGCTCGGCGGTGAAAGATAACATCATGAAGGAACCTGCATGTCTTAAAAATTAAAAAAAATTGTAGACATATGAAGGCCAACAACACGAACTAGGGTAGAACGGAGGCCATTTCTTTGTCCTAAGCCCGCCCAAAAATTAGGGGAAGGCTGTTCCCAGGAGTGGGATATATAAAGGATTTAACTTTACTCCTTTTTTATATAAATAACAACCGATCACACGTTCACCTGTTGTGTGAAAGCTGTGACCTGTTCACGTCTTGATTAACATATAAATGCAGATACGTTACCACCCGAAAATATTGAGATTGAATGTCTTATATCCTACAATGAAAACTGTCTCCATTGCGTAATATACATATACTGCTATTTTATGTTAGTATTACGTGTAAGTGTGGTTCTTCCCCGATAGATTCAACCCATTTGTGATGCAATAATATGCTAAAGCATGGCTCTACCACGATTAACTGTACCATCTATAGTTATCATCAAGAGCAAATCGTATGTATATCGATGTTGCAACGAATGATGGAATAATCGATATAACATCATTCTCCCATATAATATTTAATTTTTTATATGGAATACGTTAGAATTTCTCAATCCAAGTAAAGGTGCCAGCTCATATATATCTATGGCTGGTCCCTGATTGGTTTTAAGTTTTTTTTTTTCGGAGGATTGTTTTAGGCATGGTAATTTTTAGTTTTTTTTCTTTTCGTAAGTAATATTGGCAGATTAAGAACTTCAATAAACTTTGATTTGTCATTCTAAAGAAAGGTATTCACTATTACTAAACAACTTTGAGTAAACAGACTTATTCCCGTATCAACTGTATCGCGCAGTGGTAGAGCCACGTTGCAGCTACGAGTATGTTATAGTTGCAACATGAATGGGTCGGCTCGATCTTGGAAGAACCACGTTCTTACAGAATACTAGCGTAGCATTTTAATGATGCTGTGTTTCGTATGGTGAGTGTAATGAACCGTAATCACTTCTTACTGGAAAAGAAGCGTTCCATCATAGTGACAACGCATCTGTATTTTGATTCTTAGTTAAGGATAGAAGCAGATGTTTAAGGGCCACAAAATCCACTTACCATCAGGTGTAATGTGTGCTTGTTGGTTATCCATATTCAAAATATAAAAACTATGTATGTATTTCAATATATTCAAAGCCGTAAAACTACAATGTTATTGACAAACAAATCAAAAACGATAAATGGCTTCCACGAGGAAATATTATCAAGCATTGGCAGTTAGTTAAATCCCACATTGTGAGATATGAAAGCAGCTTCCCCTCGACAGCGTCAATCCCGGGGGATAGTGTTGTTACGAACAACTGCATAACTGTCACCAGTTAATCCCACGCTCCGGGATCGTTGATTCATTTTATGAAAAATATATTTAAGTTGTCACTCATAAAATATGATTCGGTTTTTGTTCAAACAAAAACTGATCTTAAAAATCTTAGACTGTCTGTCAGAATGAAATTCACTAATATGCTAACTAGTTTAGACTTTTTTCCCTTTTTTTTATAAAACTGAAGTGGCAAACAAACTTACAGTTGACCTGATGGTAGGTGGCTGCCGAAGCCCATGGAAATAAAACCAACTTCAAACAAAGAACGATTACATGTCCGTGTCACTAAAATGGAATTCCTCACAGGCTGGAATTATGGCTCACTTTGCATTGTCTGGAATTACAGCGGAGCTTCTGAAAGCGGGTGAAAACCCGGTACTTGAAGTCCTTCAGGATCTCTTTAATTCCGTCCTCCATGGTGGTACTTCACCGGAGGCGTGGAGCAGAAGTGTGGTGGTCTTGTTCTTCAAGGAAGGAGACAACACTCTTTTGAAAAACTACAGACCAGTTTCCCTTCTGAGCCGCGTCTACATGCTGTTTTCGAGAGTCATTATGCATCGTCTCGCTTGCAGACTCGACGACTTCCAGCCTCCCAAACAAGCCGGTTCCCGAAAAGGCTTTACCACCATAGACCACATACATACCCTTCGGTAAATTATAGAGAAGTCCGAGGAGTATAATTTGCCACTATGTCTAACGTTTGTGGACTATAGAAAAGCCTTTGATTCCGTCGAACTTTGGGCGGTGCTGCAATCTCTTCAGCGGTGCCAAGTTAACTGTCGGTATATCGAAGTGCAGAAGTGTTTGTTAATTTAAATGTATGTAAATTTAAATATATATTATTAAATAAATAAAAAAAAACATGCGTCAATATCGTGAAACAATCGGTAGGAACGAAGTTCTATTTGTAGTATATTATTATTGATAAACGTATTATATTATTGATTAACAAATACAAATTAATTAATTACTAGCGTCTATTAAAATGAAGCGTCATTTAAAAAAAATTATTTATTTCATGGTAAGATAAGAAACGTGGGAGGGAGGTATATATTATTACATCTCACTTATTTATAGCTGCCAAGGCCGTTTATACTACTTAAGAAGGGGGCGTGACGGAAAAATCTTACACTTTTTCTCGCCAAGCCCCCATACGCCAAATTCGTACCGTCCGATAAGAAAACTTCATTCCAAAAGTAATAGAAATAATATAGTTTTGGAACTATTTTGAAGTAAAATATCTATTTTTTCAACAGAGCGCGTTCGCCGCTATTTCGTTGACCGACGTCAACGTCTACGATGTTGACGAAATTCCGCCAGTCCCTGACAATGGCCTGCCCAGGTAAGATTAAATTAATACATCTCTATAAATAAAAATCAATTGCTGCCAGATAGTCTCGCTAAAACTCGAAACTGACTCGACCGATTCTGATGATGTTTTTTTGTGTGTATTTAAATGGGTCCCTAGATGGTTTAGATTCACATTTGGATTCGGTAGGTGGCACTGTTGTCGAGATCCAGAAACCCGTGCAAAGCCGGGGCGGATCGCTAGTAAAAAATTAATAAAATAAAATATTAGTCATTACCATAACAGCCTTTCAAAAGTCCACCGCTGAACATAGGCCTCCCCCAGAGATCACATAGGCATCATATATGGAGATATTTGCCATAGTTGCCACTTAACAAGCCGGGTTGGCTGCCGCTGAATTTTATTATTTTTAGTTGTTATCAGACGGATGCTGCTACCCGTCTTTTATTCCCTCTGTGACCTCTTACAAGATCAAACGCAAGAGAGTAGTCTACATTCTTACACCGCTACTACATGGTCCTTCTGTTATTATCACGGACGCCTGTAATTTAAGAGATAGGGTGAGTGGGGGGAATATGAAAAACGGGGCAACACCTAATAGAGAGACATCATCGAAACCCTATATAATCTTGTTACAAAATAGATTGCCAGTTGGAAGAGAATTCATCACTCTATTTGTTCGTATTGGTATCGAATAAAAGATCTCTTATCATCTACCCGTTAAGAGTGACGATGAAGGTAAATCCATCCTTGAACAGAAAAAGGCCCATGTCCAGCAGTTGACCTTTACGGGCTAGTGATGAAGAAGAAATTGATCTTTTATAAATATTACACAATTTATTATCTGACCATATAACCGGGCCAGCCATATAATGAACGCTAAAAATTTTCTGCTCACCAGATGTCGCTAGTTGACACTGAGATAAAGTTTTTTGTTACACAATGTCATTTAATTAAGAAGTTTTTTTTTTTTTAATAAAAGTTTATCAGTTTCTAGAGTATTATATTAATACACAAAACAATAAGTCAGTGGTTTGCTCTTTAAGTTTTTGCACATTTTTAACTATTTTTTTTAATTTTTCTACTTTTATGAATATCTGTGGTTTGGTTAATTTATTTTTAATGTTATTAATTTAAAATATAGCTAATAGTGCAGAAAGACATAATAACTTTTACATTTCCCGACCAAATTAAATTCCCCGCTATGAAATCTGTCAAATATTATACCTCACTTTCTAGTGGCGCCGCCCTGTTGGCACAAAAAGTCGTGGATGCCCTCATTGGACGAGCCGACAACCGATGGGGAAGAAATGTTCTCGTGTGGTAGTCTCGTACCAATAAGAAATGTTTTGGGCAGCCTCCTCCCAGGTGGAGTGCATTCGTGACATTCCTTGCGAGGCCTAAGTTAAAGAGTGAAAATGTGAAGGCAGCCCTTCACATGTTGTGATGATGATGATGATGATGAGGATAATTTATATTCCTAAATATTTAGACGAAGATATTCATTATGATGATTGATCAATTATGATGATGACGGTTGTGATGATAAAGTTAATGACGTTCTCAATTCTAATAGTGAGTGTAAATCATTGCCAACCTTAAAAATAAATATTTTACACTAATAAATATTGTATATTTGAATAAAGAAATAAATTTTGAGTTTCGTGAAGGCATTCGTAAAAAGAGCTTATCATTTCTAGTCCTAAGTGGTCTTCATCTGCGCTTTAAGGTATAAATTGATACATCAAACGTCGGTGATCCAGACGAATTCGTAGGTTGAAAAGAATCGAATCGAAATCGAAATTTACAAAATATAAGTTCCAATACATTCTACCTAATACAAGCGAGCAAATTTAAATAAATATTTATTACACACTTTTTTTTTCTTTACATTTGACGAATATTAGTTTTTTTTTTAATGTAATGTAAAATGTGCAAATAAAAATAAAATAAATGTTAAAAGATTAAGTGGGAAAACTAAGTCACACAAACGCTTAGGAATTATATAAGCGTAGTCAAAATATAAATTTTCATATGTAAATACAGATAAAAAAGAAACAACTATTATTATTCTATAATTAATCAGTTTTTTTTTAATTTACCAACAGCAAAATAATCGAGCAATTTTGATAGAGATATTTAGAATTCTTTCTCCTTTAAAAATTGACCTGAATTATTTATATTATTTTCCGGTAGCTCTGCAATTGAAAACGCGTTCGACATCCTGTTCGATGGTGGCGCAACCAGTATCTACTTTCAGAACAACTACCAGATAATTAAAGATCTAGCGAATCAGCGTGACGTCAACAGCCAGGCCTTGGCTGTTGGCCAGGCTATCGCTCTCTTTGGAGAGCTTTCATATGGCATCCCTGGTGACGCTTGCGCTGCCGCTAATGTGAGTATTATGTTTAATTACCTCATTTCCTTCTTTGTTTCTTCTTTATCAGCCTGATAGCTCACATGGGTATTGTTCTTCCACCGTTGGTAGAATATGTCGTCATCATCTCGCTTGACAGGTGGACTTCAGTACTATATGTGTAGCAACTTGGGCCCTTTTTTTACACGGGAAAATGCCTACACGTACCCACCCTCGGGGGCAAGGACGGGTTATGTCGGACTCACACCGACTAAAACCCCATGGTGTTCCACCTTCGTCGCATATTGGCAGGGCCACGGGAACGCTTTCGCACACGGCCCCACCAGCGCTGGCCGCCTCATGGCAGCTCCTCCTTGGGAGAGGACTACTCCTCCCTCATCTCCTTCTGACCAGAACACATGGTGCGCCCTCCTCCGCGGCCTCCAACTTCACATGCGCAACGGACGCCCCCCGATGCGCGAAGGCCATGCGGCCAGGAAATACTAGCGCTCAGAAGCACCAGCCTTCCTGATCCCAGCGGTGGATCTGGTCTATGGCTACGCCGCCAGCCAAGATTCAGCTGCGGAGGGTAGGGAGAGCGACGACTCGCAATACCAACACTACTCTCCCCCCGCAGCCCCACCGCAACCGCATCAATTAACGGTGCGGCCCCATCAGAGTCACGGAGGATAGGGCGAATGGCGCATTGCATGCCAACACTCCTCTTCCCTCGCGACAGCGACACCTCGGCTGCAGCGGTAGGGAGAGAAGACACCCCTCTCGCCGCAACCCACCGACACACATCCGAAGCGGGCTGGCCAAGTCCACTCGGAGTGGCCATCTCGGGCCGGCCCTACACCACGGCCCAGCTAAGGGATTCCTCTTTGTTCATCGCGGGTGACCAAGCCACGACTACTAAACTGCCCGCCACGACAAGGCGGGAACCCGGGGTGCAGCAGTTTGGGCCCTGCTCCCTGCCACCGACATTAGCATTTAACACCTGGCATATTCAAAATAATACACTGTCTTCTATCAGATGCTGTGAGTTCTTACTAGCTTTTTCGACAGTTACCTCTTACTACATTCATGAGAAGATTTATTGCCATGGGCCGCCAACACTCGGCAAACGTAAAATATTTTTAAACGTTTTACTATAACCGGCTAAAGTCTCCGTTATGCGAAATAAAGAAATAATCATTTTTGGGTCTGGATGATGATCAGGATAGCAGATTATGGCTGCATAATCTTGGGGAAGTCCCACGCTCGCACAGAATACCAACTAAACTAGCAGCATATTGCAGCTGTGATTCGTATGGTAAGAAACGAGAACCGAAGAGCGAGAGACAAAACTATTGCATTTTAATTTTTATTATAGGTTAATTGATTTAGTTTATTTTTAATGAAGGTGTCTATGGATTACATTATCCGCTTCCCATCAGGTGGACCATGTACTCCTGTCTCCGTAAGGCTTTACATCGTGCATGGTTGGTTAGGTTAGTGAGGGCAATGCCTCTGACGAATTAGAAAAGTGCAGAAAATCCCACGATTATTTAACTAATTAGAAAGATCAATGGCCGTTGTCTTCATGAACCTGTAAAAGTCCTACCGCTGTACATGCGCCTATTTTAGAGAGATTTCGCCTAAATCGGCATGCCTGGCAGAAGGATTAGTGATTGCAGCTTCAATCTTAGAAGTACCTTTAAATCTTGGTGAATCTATTGCATGTACGGGCCGAATATCCCCCTGATCGGAACCAAATTGAGGGCACAATAAAAGTCATTGATATATATTTTTTAGTTTATCAACGCATATGTCAGCGGTAACAAGGCCGCTCTTCGCAGCGCTCTAGACGCCTACGTCCAAAACCTGGTCAGAAATGTCGACGCCCTCGCGCAACGTGCCCGGGACCCTAACTCCCTTAGATACACCGTAAGTATTCAACGATTTTTAACTAATAAACACATTTACTTACTTAAGAGTACAAATTATATTATTTCATACTTTACACCGCTCAAATTCATGAATAAATGTGGAATCTACTCTTACATATTTTATGTCCGAAACCAAGCTAACACAATATTCAACTTATAAGGTACGTGAAGGCAATATAGACACCTTAAGGTTTGCCGCCCTATAAACAAAAACTAGGAGGAGAACAGAGTCTAAAACACAAAGTCGTATATTGTAACTAATATACCCGTTAAAAATAATTACACTTCGAAAAATTTACTTAAAAAAAAACTAACTACACTACACAATAATAAAATCGACTAAAATATTTACTACTAGCAATCCGCCCTGGTTTCGCACGGGTGATTTATGGATCTCGACAATAGAGCCACCTACCAATTGGGTCCAATTGTAAATCTAAACCATCGAGAACCCACTTGAACGCACATAAAAAATTTAAATCGTTCAAGCCGTTTTCTAGTTTTGGCGAGACTAACGGACAACAATTAATTTTTATATATAGAGATAATATCGATAAAGTAGCACACTTTTCACCCTTCATCATTTGATAGGCTGATGAAGAGCTATAGTACCACAGAGCCAGCTATGAAAACAAGGCTGTAGTTTTTGAGTTATAAGAAAGTTCGTCGACGAAAGCTTCGTCTTTTGTAATGCGTATAGGAAAGGAGTGGAATAATTTGCCGGCGTCTATCTTTCCGTCAGAATACAATCTGGGCGTCTTCAAGGCAAGAGTGAATAGGCTTTTGTTACGCTAAGACAGTGCGATTCACCATCTAGGGCTGCATCACCACTTACCACCAAGTGGGATTATGGTCAAGCACTGGCTTATAATAAGTAAAAAAAATGACGCAATATATAGGGGAGGCCTATGTTCAGCAGAGGAATTTATAGGCTGTAATAAACGACAATGGAAATGTAATTTTCCAATACCTATATCACTACCAATAGCCTTCATCCCCCCCCCCTCCCCCCTCCCTCTGTAGGGAGGATTTGTCTTAATGGTTTCGCTTGGCCGGCGAATTATAATAGCTGTACGCTACATCACACACTTCTGACGCTACTGCCCGTCTCTTGGCTGGACGTTTTACCCGATTTTTCTGGCATTTCTTACATTTGCCTCCTACGAAACCCACGGGACGAAATAGAGTGATAGATTGTCTTATGCTACCACCACACGGCAATTAATAACGATTAGTTAAACGCTTAGTTGAATAAAAAGCACTTAATTCTTCCGTTAGTAACAACAACGACTATAGTGATGCCCTATCATTAATCTTGTTGCATGGAAAGTGAATAAAATCATTAATATCAATAACAATGTAAATCCTAGTTTAGTGGCGCAGCGAATCGGTTTGAAAGATAAATGAGCCGAGAGCTTATATGAGACCCGTTTAGAGTGGCGTTTCATATTAATGTATTGCAGAGTAGTAAAGTCGTGGTAGCTCAGAAGCTGGACGATTAATTTTCATTGTATTCAAACCAAAATTCAATTCCCGCTGGTACTACTACTAACACTAAATAGCAATTTTAAGTGCTGTTTGCTACGTGCTCAACGGTGAAAGAAAACGCCGTGAGGAAATATATTTATATATATATATATATATATATATATATATATATATATATATATATATTTCCATATATATATATATATATATATATATATGATTTATGAGATGGATACGTTTAACTAATCGTTATATATAAATTTAATCTCTGAAATAAATAAGATAAGATCACATATTAATTTGCTTATTTCTGTAGTCTGGCGGACGTGGTAACTGCGTTGGAAGTGGCAGAACCTACCAATTCGAGGCTGCTTGGGACTCAATCCTGTGCAACGTTAGCCCCCGTCAAGCTGAGTACGTTAACATTTAGTAAATGTATAATATAGTAACATATATGTTTAATTATATATGTTTAATAATAGTATATGTTTAATTTAAATGCGTTAAAACTAGTACAATAAGTATTAAGTATAATTAAAACATTCACCAATGAAAGGAATATGGTTCATATAAAAGAAATAGGGTTGAATGAGGTGATTTACGCTGCAGGTATATCATGGTTGAAGTACGAATGGGTCGGTTCGACCGGAATAGTACCACGCTCTCACAGAATACCACCGTAAAATAGCAGATTAATGTTGCTGTGTTTCTTATGGTGAGTCCGGGGACGTTTTTAGTGCTTAATTTCATCTTAGAACTCAGGGTTGACAATAAATCTACACTTTGATTCTTAATCGAGAATAGATTTAAATTTATATGGACCACAGCATTCATTTACCATCAAATGAACTGTGCTGTCGCGTGTCACCATTAATAAAAAAGATGAAGGTGACAGTGAAATAGGGTCTCAGGCCCTAGGTTTATATACATTATTATCTAACTAATAAAATACAATATATTTTTAGTTTGATCAATGAGGAGTACTGTGCAACTAAGAGGCTGTATAACGTGTCCTACATTCGAAACAACAACTTTGGAGCGGCTATCACAGCTTCCGCTCTGCGTCCAGCCTTCGAAGTCAACTTCAAAGCTTACCCCGCTCTGGTTAACGTAAGTTTATTAATAATAGAAATGTGATACTTAACTACACTAATTTCCTTCTAGAATATGGGAATTTCTCCCTTTTTCTAGAAGTTAACTTAACTCCTGTCTTATCCTCTATCAGGAGAGCATTCACACGTGTACAGAAATAAAAACTTTTTTATATGATTTCTTATATTTACGCGAAGACTACACATTATAGTCCCCCCCCCCGTGACCATGGGTGCTGTAAAGCATCCGAAACGTCAGGAATTGAAAAGTTAAATTAAACGCAATAAAATCCGTAAAAATTAGTTTTATTTAATCTATATATATTATATCAGTCGCAATTTTACTACCGGTTAGTGCAGTTGCTTCATAATGACGTGACGGCTCTCTAATGCCGAACCTACAGTATTTAACCTACAGCATACCTACTGTGCAAAAATAATTCGAAATGGCGTGTCAACCTAAACGCTCCGAAACCGTAGAAATCCACGAGTTCCTGGCCTTTATTCACCAAAATTTGGACGTCATGGACCAGGTGTCTCTGGAGCAGATACTGATGACAAGCTTCACCGAGGACGAGATCATCCAAGCGAAGAAGGTGTTAGCAGATTCAGCTGTGACCCAAATCCGTCTTATCATACGTCACAGGGATGGACGCGGTAAGAAATACCTGCAAGACATCTTCAGGCTGTTCAATGAGACCGACCCTGATGACATCCCAACTTTCGTCGCGCGTGATCTCAACAAGCTGCCTCCCGTGACGTTCCATCACGTAGACGTGACCAGATTGTTGAAAGACATCACCACGTTGAGAGCTGATGTTACCGACATCCGTTCCAAATTTGAGAAATCGGAACGAGCCGCAACAGAGCTGAGGAACGAAGTCAATATGTTGCGCAACATAATTGCAACATCTGCAAATTCACCGCCGTCGAAGAATGTAAATACGACACGCGGTAACCGTAATAGTAGTCATATATCACCGATGATTGCGACTCCGTCACGCGATACCGCCTGTCAATCAGTGGGTTGATGACCGTGAAACTAGGGCGACCTCGATCGTCATTGCATCACTACCTCAACCCTTAACTGAACCCATTGGTACTCCTCCACCGAAGCCAACCTCAGAACAAGGGAAGACGTTTGCGGATGTTGCCAGAAAATCTTTACAACCGGCACCCTCTTGTGGTCGAAAGCGGAAGAATGTCGCGAAAGCGGAAGCGGTCGCGACCCGTCTGTAACCAGCGTGGGACCGCGAAAATAAACGCGAGTACAACTCTGCGTGCTGTGGAGCCAACCATACAGCTCTACATCTCCCGTTTGGACAAAAGTACGTCGGGAGAAGACATCCTGCGTTTCGTGGAAGAATGAAGCCGATGCCGCATTGAGGATCCGATCTCTTTACATTTGCAGAGTCTGGAGTCTAATAGGTCAACGAACTTCAAATCCTACGTACTCCAGGTTCCTGCAAAACATAAAGAGACATTCCTCGCTGCTGATTTCTGGCCTGGGCTTTTTTTTAAAGAATAGTTTACAATAATTATTGTGTAACTCTAATTATTTAAGTATTCTAACCTACCTAAATAATTACATTTACACAATAATTAACAACACAAAACAACCGATCACCTCAGGGGTTATGGTCATCCATAAATTTCTTAACATAATAATAACTCTTTTTATACAATCTTTGTTAAATAATTTTTAAACTTGGCGGAAATCAGTTTTTGCATATTTTTAATAACTTCCAGAACTATTGACATGAGTTTGGACATACTACGAGTATCAATGGGGAAACATATACAGCCGGTGTACTGAAGGCATTGACTAACTTTGTTGAGAAACACAAACAAAACCAACTATACAATTAAAAAGCAGTACTTTTTAATTGTATAGTTGGCAGGCGGATTGGCAACCGCTGTCCTGAAAGATATTTTTGAAATGGGTTTTATTGTTTTGTGTTATTATTAGGAATTTCTAATCCACGTACCAAGCGCGGCAACTATGTGTTTATCGAGTTAGCGTTACAGCCTATTAAAGTCCACTGCTGAACATAGGCCTCCCGCATAGATTTCCTCAAAGGGGGGATATACCGTAGTTGCCAGTCTCGGCAAGCGGGTTGCCAACCGCAGTTTATTTTTTATTTTTACTCGTTATTAGGAAGACGCTGCTGCTCATCTCCTGATTTGTTTCCCTCTGTCGCCTCTTATGATACTCACGGGATGGTATGAGGTAGTGGATATTCTTACACTGCCACTACACAGTAAATCTTTTTCGGAGTTTATCGGGTGGTTACATCTAAATCATATAATATTCTCTTTCCAGTTCCTGAGGGCAATCGCCTACAGGGGAAATGTTCCTGCTACTGCTGCAGTTGCGAAGGCCGAGCTCCTGCGCGCTGCCTCTAACGTTAAACTTTAAGAATCAATCATAATATGAACTTATCACTAATAAACAAATAGAAATATCTTATCTGTATATATAAATAAACACGTACGGAAATCTTTACAGAAGTTCAAAAAAAAGTTTCGGATTGGTTTTTGATATGCACTGTATATATTTGTGTATACATGTTTACACACTATAAATACTCGCATTCCTTTCGATGTATACGTGAACGAGTCTGAATAATAGATGGTTTATTATTATTTATGTAATGAATTATAATATAAATACGATTTATATATATATTATAATAACTGCCTCCCCACTGGATGACAGGTCTGAGAGTAAATGTTTAAATATACGTTGTTTTATTCAAACACACACGACTTGGACTTTAATTTCGGATTCGATTTTAATTTTAATAAAAAATAAAGATGTATCCAGATGCTTACTTAAATTGTGTTTTATTTCGCTTATTTTACACTACTATCCTTATAAGGAAGTGACTCGTTTAGTAACCTTACTTTCATAGCGAAGAGGAGAGTTAACGTAGCAAACTCGTAATAACTTAAGTATATAACTGAAGTATATTTTTTTCATAGAATAAGGGTGACAAATGAGCTCACAGTCTATACAGCCTACGAGATCTTAAGTGGATGCTGTGGTGGTGGGTATGTGTGATAGAAACATCTACATCTATCCTCAATTAAAAATCATGCTGCAGATGCCCTTGTTACCCCTGAAAATTAAGATGGAATGCTTCGATTCTAGTAAAAAAGAGCTTCGGTTCTTTACACTGCCACTACATACGAAACACAGCAGCACAAAGCCTCCATTTTACGCTGGTATTCTGTGAGAACATGTCTTTTCCTGGTTGAGCCGGAACATTCGTGCTACAACCTTAATATAGCTGCAGACCGCACAGATGGGACAGAAGGTTCTTAAGAAGAGGCTCGCGTCGGAAAGCTGGTGTAACGCGGCCTCATACCTATGAAGTAACATCCTGATTAGGCGTCCAGGAATTCGATGCAAGTGAGAAGGAGGCAAATAATCGAATTTGACTTGTGACAGGGTGCAATGATGATGAGGATTCGATTGGCTTGAATGACTTTTATAAACATTAACACCCTGCCTTAATCATAAACTCGACGTCAATTTAAGAAACGCTTAACTTTACTCTCTCTCTCTCTCTCTCTCTCTCTCTCTCTCTCTCTCTCTCTCTCTCTCTCTCTCTATCTCTCTCGCTCTCTCACTCCCTCTCTCTTTACTAAATAACAATAAAAAAGAGACAAGTAGAGAGATAACTAATACTTTATTTAAGACCGTAGTTACATTTTTGACGTGCTCGAATTTGGGTATTCAAATTGAAAGCTGACTTACGCATGCACTGAAACAGTTTTCCGCTATATTTTATATATTATACCTTATTAAACTAGATAGAAATGTACGCGGGATTCCGTTTTTCTTTCTTTGATAATATGAAGATACTTAAAATATTATTAATTTTACAAGTATTAAGTAAAGTTAGTTGGCGAAACTTTGCAATCGCATTTGGTATCTGGTATGATAATAATGTTCATATTATTTGTAAATTGAAAGTGGGGTTCAGCATTATTTCAAAATATTTTTTTACAGGACGCCACGAGCACAAGTGGACTTGTGACTGTATTACACCTGTACCGATTGTATATGCATGTGTGTGAGAAAGGAACTTATTTTTAAAAGATCGAAAATAAAACATTTGTTTCATCGGTATGTTTTTATTCGTTTAGGAGCTATGATATCTTAGATTCATATATCTCGCATATCAACTAGTTCTGGAGGTAAGCAGTTATTGTAGAATTTTACTTAAATTCCCTCCACGTTTTCCTTCCAGACCTGGTCGTCTCTTTTTGTGAATTCATATTTAATTTTACCGTGGCCCATTCACTGGCAAATATACACATATTTTGACCAGTTCGTAATTGGCCCTGTACTTGGGAGTACCATTTGATTTTTGTGTTGACTATGAAAACGTCAGAGTTAAGCGTCTCCCACACAGAAGCTGTTTGGGGTGGCGACCGCGGCGGCCAGTTGTATTCTCTTGCAATGTAAGTGAGTCTGCAAACCCGTGCGGCCATGTCGCGACCGCGAGCGGCTGGCCGCGGCCGCATGGTCCGCCCCTTCCGCCAACGCGTGTGTGTTAGCGAGTACCCGACCAGTCGGCGGCCGCAGCGTGGTCAGTTATCGCTAAGGCGGTTATCACAATTCCACAAAGTGATAATGGGGATCTGTGTTATTAGTGCGAAAGTTTATCTTCAGTACATCATCACGTGACTATTTGCAAATATTCCACGAAATGCTTATCACCTGAGACATTCCTGACAAGGTATATCCTTAGCGCTTAGCCACCGTAGAGTCTATATCACCTGAGGATGCCTCGTGTAGAGCCGAAACACGTGTCGTATTGTCGTCAGTGGTGTGTCTTTCCTAGTGTAGTGGTGTTGGGAGTAGTGGTGCTGGGATTAGTGGTGACGGGGATAGTGCACGCAATTGAGGGAGGGCGGGAGGTGCTCTACAAACTAGGTAAAACACATAATTTTATTTTATCTAGCGGATGTACGCAAAATATTTTTTGTCAAATTTAATATAATGTACTTCCGCAAAGTAACGCCTGATTCTATTAATTATCCTAAAAAAGCATTAGGAATAAAAACAAAATATATTTCAATATTTCTGAATACAATAAGACTTCGTCACGATTAGCCATCTTTACTGACGTCCAATAGTAGCACAGACACCACAGCGAATGGCGCTTCAGGCCGCCGCTGCGACCACAGTGGTGTGTTGTTGCAGCGGCTGGAGACGCGGCTCGCGGTTAGCCGCCACCGCACGCCCCTTGTGTGTGGCAGACGCTTTATACAACCAAAAGTCAATTTTCTTTTGTTTGATTGATTCTTCGGGTTCCATATTATAAATGAAACATGGGTAATTCACTTCTAAAGAATCAAGTTGATATTTGCCGTCTGGACTAGCACGCAGAAATGAAAATTTGTGGTATATATGTAAACTACAGTCAGGTACTCTTAAGTTAACATTTAAAGCCCTTTCTAATTCTCGAGACGCTTTGCGCTTGTCTTTTTTTGCTATTTTTTATAGATGGTACATTGCTTCAATCGGTGCCACATAGTAATTGCTTAGCAAAGAGAGCACAGTTGGTATTTTCATGCCACTTGCAAACTCTGGCAAACCATGAAGCTGTCAACTTTTCTTCTAGTTTTCAAGAGCGAGTTTGCGCTCTGTAAAACTTTGCTCTTTTCAATAAAGTTTTTCTGATCTGGGGACTTCACCAACTGTAATATAAGGTCAAGTATTTATAAGCATAGGTCTGTGGTCTGACATAGACCTTTTACCTGTTGAACCCACAAAATTTCTTGAATGATATGATCTGGTGGCTTCATTCCTTTGATTTCTGATCGGCAACATGTGATTGAATAATAATTTTTCACCACACAATACAGAACTTCTTTACTGTGCTGGTGACCAATTGTCGCAGCGTTAGAGGTAGTATCGTAGCCTGTACCATATGAAAGTTAACTATACATGTGTCTGCAATTATGGCTATCATTAGTATTCCTTGAGACGATGTATTATCTGACATATATATTAATATTAATACTATTGCTTCATAGAAGTAAGAATATGAAGTTGGACATATCCAGCACCAGTACATATAATTCCTGCTATAACTTCTTGATTTATGAACATTTTACTATCGCCTTAGCCGTTTTTCGAGCTTTAAATTCTCAACACACATTTTGCAAAGAAGTTTGTCATTTTAATGAAGGTCAGTTCTTTTTTTCTTTATTAATACTGCTCAAAAAATTTCAATAATTTTCCTAAGTTTTGGCTTACATTCTTTAACTGCACATTTTAGCTTCTGTACTTAAAAAAGACAACATTAATACCTAAAGTAAAATAATAAAACAAAATCTTTAACTTATTCCGTTTAACTTTTACTTTTAACTTTTTCCGTTCTTATCTCATCAGCACTTGGGATTTTCTTACTTTGCCTAAAGTTAAACCATAAACTAGTAAGCACGCAAACCTTGTTATTTATGTGTAATGATACATAACTAACTAGTAGACAGTACAAGACAAATTTACCAAACTTTTAACTAAATTCTCGAAATTTTTTAGTTTTCTTGTATTTGCTAAAAATAAAAGTTTATTTTAGAGTGACATTAAATAATAATTTGTTGTCACTCTAAGATAATTATTGTCGATAATCAAAAATAATAATAAAATATTTTACTTTATAAAGGACTAAGACTTGTCGATAACTATAATAGTACACTATCCTCGTATGCATGGATAAAGTCACGCATAGCAGAGCGCCGAGCGACGTCACCTTTCTCTGGAATGTCTAGCGGCTGTCTAATTTGAATTGATTCAAATGCGGGTTCATTGTGATTTTATAGTACTTTTAAAATATATATATATATATATATATATATATATATATATATATATATATATATATAAAATAAAGATATTTTATTTTTAGTTTTAAAGGGTAGGGGTTAAAAAAGATGTTCTTCTAACATATTAAGTTATTTCATTAAAAAAAAATCATAAAAACATTTTCATAAAAATTTCACTTGGTTTGTATTTTTAATTTCTTGTGTATATAACCTAAATCAAAATATTTTTCTAATAACTATTTTCAAATTGGTTGTATTTTTTTGTTTGATAAAATTGTCAGCCATTTCAGATATTTTAAGCTTTGAAGATAAAAGGGAAACTTAGAAAACCTCTGTGTAGTTCTCTTGACAGCATCCACAAATACTATTCAGACCATAAATTTTACTAAAGTTATGAGTAATTAACATTTGTGTAAGACAAGCGGTAGATGAATATTAACAGGTTTGAAAAGTACTGTTTACAGCTAATCAGCGCTTGGGACGTAAATACGTCTTTTAAGTTAGCGTTAATCAACGATTATAAGTAAAGTCCATCATTATCACAAGCGTTCAGTTACAATTAAATTATTCAAA